CTTTCTCTGTCGCCCCTGTGTTTTTTTTTTTTTCTTTTGTTTCCAGAATAAACTTTATTGGTCTCTTTTTCCGCTCACATCGTGTAAACAAACAACGAACTCTTCCCCACCCCCTAAACTACCCCCTCCTCCGGCCGAGGAGGGTAAGAGCTGAGGAATAGCCCAGCCTAAAATGCCCCGGAAGCAGAGGTGCAGAGGAGCGGAAGTGAAACCGCGGAGAGGCGGCGGGGGAAGTGGGCAAGTCGGGCAACAGTCTCCACTGCGCCTGCGCCCTGCTTTTCCGCCCGGAGTGCGATGCTGTTGGGGTTGCTTTTGTGGAGTGTGTCTGTTTAATATTCCGTCTTCTGCAGTAGTGAGGCTCTTGTGTCATCCTAGGACAGCGTAGGAGTCATGTATTTGTTTCTGTGAGCGGCGGGGGGTGGGGTTGAGACGCAGAAAGAAATGTTGGAAGTGAGTTTATTAACTTTTACGCCCATAGAAGAGAAAACGAGATTTGTTGGGGACGTAACGAAGAGGGCGTAGTGGCTATCCGCTTCTCAGCGGCTAATCAAAAGTGGCTGTGGATTCTTAGGCCTTTTGCAGAGGGTTGCTGTGCTTCCTTCGAAGCCAACATTGGGTTAAGGTGTAGCGCGACAGGAACGTAGAATGCATTGCCACAGTCCCCCTGTAATTCTTTGACTGACTTTTGAGAGACCTTTTGCTGTGTCCCACACCCCTCTTTTCCTGTTTTGAGTCAGCTTGTGGCGTTCAATTCTGACTATTCAAAATACGTGGGGTTTTCGTGTAAAGCCAACCGAAGCTTCAGAAAATCTATATTGACTATTGATTAATTTGAAAGTGGTGTCTTGATGTTGTATATTATAGAAGTCTTTTTTCTCCCCTTAAGAGTACACTAATGGGATCTGTTGACTTTCCCAGGCCTTCTCTTGACTTTTTGAGTTTACCACTGATAAAGGTCCAGTACTCTGCGAATTTCTCCCCCTGGTGGTCTTTTGTTGTATTGAAAACCCGTAAGAGCAGAGATGAAAAGTCTGGGATAGTACTACAAGTCCTCCAAAGATGATTCCCCCTTGAATTTTTTAGCAGCGAACTTGGAAGTGACCCACGCTGTAGATGTCATAATCCAGTTTACAAACAGAGCAAAAACTTGACCAGTGTCAGTCTTCTCGAACACCACACATCCCTAACCTAATCTTAAAGGGGATCGATTCCTCTCCCTGTGGTCATAGTTCACTTGACTGCATTTCCGGTGTTTTCTTTTCCTCATTTAGCGCTAGTTTTCATCTCACATGCCAGGGATCTATATTTCTAACTTTTCGTGAGCTGGTGTATATTTAGTGTCAGAATACTGTGATATTCTGGAGAAGGGAATTAAAAACTACAACATTGAGTTGCTAGTCAAAGTAAACCTTAAGACCTGAAGGTAGTATTTTTTAGATTGTGTTTTCAAGCAGTGTTCTGTTAGGTGAGTAGTAGTTAGTGGGGGAAATTTATACTAGGGATATTTTCTTTCTAAAATTTTAATAAAGAAAATGCTATTACATGATAATATGCTGATTGCATGATTACATTATGTGACTTTTGTTGTGAAATCATGTCGCAGCAGACAGTGCCATTATCTGGTGCTCAAATGCTTCCCAATATTCGTTGGTGTAGGAGTAGCTTATGTCAATTCACAGTTGAGGCCCTTGCCTTACTTGGTGACTGTCGGTCTGACATGTCTTGTTTTCAAAGATGTTTGCATTATATATTTCATATATAATACATATATATGTTAAAGTTTAAATCTAAATGTCCCGCCAGTCTCATGCTCAGATGTGGGTCTTTTGAAAGATGATTGAATCATAGAGATGCCATACTCATCACTGTGATGAGTTCACAGCTCAATGTGCTGTTAGCAGGTTGGGCCTAGTTGGAGGTGGATCCCTGAGGGTGTGACTTGGAAAGTCAGTCTGTCTCTGTCTGTCTGTCTGGCCATTTGTCTCTCCCTCTCTCCCCACTCTCCTTCCTGGCTGCCATGGGATCAACAGCTTTCCCCCAACCATACCCTCCTTCTGTGTCATTTCTGCCTTGGAACCAGCTACCCATCAACTGAATCCTCTGAAACTTAAGCCAAAACAAGCCAAAACAAACAAACAAAAACAACACTGCAGGCGTGGGGTATTTTGTATCAGCCACTGAAAAGTGACTATAGAATATGCAATATATGTACAATACAATATACATATGTGTACACTATTTGCAGTGCTAGGGATTGAACCTAACCTTGTGTGTGTGAAGCAACTCTTCTACCATGGAGATGTATCCCCAGCTCCTGTTTGCAGTGTTTAGAGTATGTCAAACACCTGTGGTTCCGCCACCTGCTTCGCAAGCACAAGATCCTAAATTTGATCCCCAGTACCAAAAAACAAACACACAAACATCCGTGTGACAAAACTCATCTCGCAAGGACTAGTGTTTGAAAGAAGAATGTTTTGATTTCTAACACTCTCCCAAGCGCGGCTGAGTGCAGGTCCGGGAAGACACACTTTGGGGAACACTGCAGCTGCAGGATCAGCGCCTCTCACGTACACACCGAATAAACGGTAAGTTGTCTGGGGAGCTGAGTTTTCCTGAAACCCGGAACTTGGGGGAATGCGGTGGGGGGGGGAGAGAAAGAAACAAGAATGTTTTAAAATGAAAGTAGAGCCAGGCGTTGTGGCGCACTCCTGTAATCCCAGCACTCGGGAGGCGGAGGCAGGAGGATCGCTCTGAGTTTGACACCAGCCTGGACTACATAGTGAGTTCCAGGTCAGTATCAACTACATAGTGAGACCCTGTCTCAAAAGAAAAAAAAAAAGTAGAACTAGTGATTTTCAGACTATAAATCAAACAAAAATGGAATGCTTCATAATTAAATAATTGTAATCTAAGTGTCCTAAAATCGGGAGGTGAAATATATAAAATGAAACTTGTTACATTCTAAAACATTGCAATTACAATGATAGCTACTTGTCTTTTAGATTTTTTCTATTTTGAAAAAGGCAGTCACACATGTAATGTACACCAAAACATTCTCTAGTAGCACTTACATGACTACAAAGCTTTGAAGTCATTTATAGCAATCTTGATTATACAGCAGTATACCCTCTCAAGTTAGACAGTGAAAACATACCAAGAAATAACAAAGCGAACAGCTATACAGCAATTTTAAATTCAGTTTAAGGTTTGTTTTGCCCCAAAATATCCTGGTGAATGTCCCATGGTCATTTATAAAAGAATGTGTCATGTCCTATTGTTGGGTGGAGTGTTGTATAAATTTCAGTTTTATCAATTTGGTTGATAATAGGTATTCTAAATAATCTCCAAGTAGAATTGTGGATTTGTCTATGTGTCCCTTTACTCCTGGGTATTTTTGATGCATGTATTTTGAGATTTTGTTATTTAGAAGCATACACTTTTAAAATTATGTGTTTTTATAAACTGCTTTTTGTCCTTAGTATTGTATCCCCTTATCCCTGGTAATATCTTTGTTAATATATTTTATCTGATAGTATGTTGCCACTCAGGCTACTTTTGGTTAGTGTTTGAAATATTTATCTTTCCATCTTTTTCCTGTCAATCTCTGTTTTTTTTTTTTTGTTTGTTTGTTTTGTTTTGGTTTGGTTTTGGGGGGGGTTGGTACCGGGAATTGGACTCAGGACCTTGTGCTTACAAGGCAGGGGTCAGCACCACTAAGCTAAATTCCTGGTCCTCTGTTGTTATTTTTAAAGTGGATTACTTGTAGACAATACATATTAGATTGTTTTTAAAAATTCCTTTCTGACAATCTCTGCTTTTTCCTTATTGTGTTTAGATGGTTTACATTTAATGTAATTATTAATACAGGTGGATTTAGGCTTCTTAATGTATTATTATTATTATTATTATTATTATTATTATTATTATTATTATTTGATACTGGGGATTGAACTCAGGATCTTACGCTTGTGAGGCAGGTGAAAGAACCACTGAGCTAAATCCCTAGCCCCTTACTTTATTATTTGTTTTCTTTTTATTCTCTGTGTTTTTATGATCTTAGTTTCTTGCTTTCTTTTGGCATTATCTGTACTTTTTTAATATTGTATTTTAATTTATATATTATGTTTGTCTGTATTCCTTTTTGGGTAGTTCTTTGGGTTACAATATACGTACGTAAATATTCACAGTCTGCTTCTTTTACAATTATACTATTTTAAGTAAGATATAGAAAAAATACTTGCAGCCATGTAGGTCTACCACTGTCTCTTAATACATCTCTCCATATGTGTTGCCTCTGTATGTATGGAACACCACCAGATGGTTTTATATTTTTTGGTTTCAGAAGTCATAAGAGGAAACTTAAAGGAAAATGCAGTCTTACTTTTATTTACTTACCTATTTACTTTATGCTTCTATTCATTCTTAAAAATTTTTCCTTTTGATGTCATTTCTGTTCATCCTGAAGTATTTTAACAGTGGTATATTCTGTTAGTTTTTCTTTATCTAAGGATATTTTAATTTTACCCTCATTCCTGAAGGCTATTTTAGCTGTTTGTACAATTCAGGGTTAAAGATTTTGTTTGTTATTCTAGTACTTTAAAGGTGTTAGCTCATTGTCTTCAGGACCTGTCTGTGATTATTGAAATAGTTTCCTCCAAATGTAAATTGTAATTTTTTTCTAGATTATTTTGAGATTTGAAATATTGGTATTCACTAGTTTGCTATGATGTCTAGGTATTGTTTTCTTTGATTTATTCATTTGGTTTTTTGAGTTCCTTTTGTATTTCACAAAATTTGGGGAGATTCCAGTAATTATGTTTTTCTTTTCTGTCTGATGTTCTTTCTCCTCTCTGGGAATCCAATGACAAGAATGTTAGATATTTTGATGTTGTCGTACAAGTCTCTAAGGCTCTTCATTTTTAAAATTTTTTCTCTATCTCTTGTTCCTCATATCTATCTCTACTGGATACTTTCCATTCATCTATCTTGTAACTCACATATTTTTTACTAATATCTGTTCTGCTGTTGTGTCCAAAAATTTCTAAAATATTGGATATTGTGTTTTTAAATCCTTAGTTTTAAATTGGCTCTTTTATTATGGCTTTTGTTTCTCTACTGAGCATCCATATTTTCCATTAATTTCAAGTTTGTTAGTCTTTATATCAAGGACCATAGTTAATATTGCTTTAAAGTATTTTTCTGATAATTCCAATATTTTGGGCATCTGTTGATTGTTTTTTGCCTTGATAATTGGGCATATTTTTCTTTTTTTTAAAGAATGTTAAGTTCTTTTGGATTTCAAAATTAAAATAAAAAGTTGGTTTGATTTTGAGTCCTCTTATCCCCTGAATAATGCTAATTTTTTGTTCGTTTTAGTAGGCAATCAACATGATTGGTGCAGTCTTGCTTTCAGTGGGAAGTATCTCTAACCTCTGTTAACTTTCCAATGCCTTTGTTAAGCTCCTTTTTGTCCTACCCTGTGCATGTACAACTCAGGGGATAGTCTAACACTTCAATAGTAGTTTACATTTTAGTTCAGCTCTCAAAATCTTTGCTGTGATTCATTTGATCATTTACACAGCTCTGGGTATGTAACAGAACTGGTGAAATGTATAGTTTTTAAAAGGATAATCAAAGAAACTTATGAATAAAGATTTGAAAGAAGAGAGGGAGCAAGCCAAGAAAATATAGAGGTTGAGCATAAGGAAAAGAGTGTGCCAGGTTAATCTAAATCGATAAGCCAGATCAACCCATAGCCCCATGAATAGAGGTTTAAGCAAAGGAGGTGGGGAGAAAGAATTTTGAGAAAAAATATTGAGAAGTAAAATGTAAATATTTTTAAAATTTTTATTGGTACGTATTTGCGGGCTAGGAATTCAGCTCAGTGGTTTCACTGCCTTCCTCGCAAGCTCAAAGTCCTGAGTTTGATTGCCAGTACACCCCTACCAAAAAAAGATGACATATTTGCTATACATAACGAAACCTTCATCATAGGGAATTTGTACCTGTACACAATGTTTTAATCTTTGTCTCCCATTTTCATTCCCTTGCTGCAACCCTTTTCCCCTCCCCATTTACACAAGTTATGTTTCCATTTTCCCCTTCCATTCTCATTTTCTTTAATCCCCTTTCCCTTCTTTCCCTGCCCCTCCCTTCCCCCTTGTTCCCCTTCCCATCTGAATGTGTTCTTTCTCCTTACAGTGTGATGATTAATAATTTGCCATCTTTGACCCTTGATACAAGATTTAGAATTATATAACAAAATCTAAGACAAAACTATATACGTTAGGAAATTATACACATTAAATATTCTCTCAATTTTACTTTTAAGGGGACACATTTTAAAAGGGAAAAGAGGAAAAAATAGAGAAATATACAAAGAAAGAGATTAGAAGCAAAGCTGAAGGACAAAGGAAGATTACCCAAGCCTCAGGAAACTGATAAAGAATGCAGGAAGCAAGGGAAGAAGGAGAAAGAAAAAACAAGAACAAAAAACTAATAACAATGTTCATCTGCACCAAAAAAAAAAAAAAAAAAAAAACAGAGCGAGAGAGGAGATTTCTCTGGGATTTCAAGCCTCTGATTTCTCTGTGATTTCAAGACTATGCTCAGCTTCTGGGATCTACAGTTTTGTGGCACTGTCCAATTTAAGGTGTGATTCTGCTCTCTTGGATAGATAAGGGAGGTAGTTTGAGTCCAGGTTTGTATTTGATAATGCCAGTAAGCCAAGTGTGCCAGTTTGGGACTTTCAAATCCGTAGAAATTCAGGCTGAACCTGACTCATGGTCATGGAGGTAGGGGCTGAGTTGTTTAGCTTATAAAACTCTGGTGTCTCTTCCCAGACTGACCACAGCTCCCTGACCATGAACGTTTCTCATGGATATCCCTCACCCAGCCACTGTGGGATTTTTTTAACACTGGGCACCCTGAGAGGAAACCAACCCACAGCTGCTCTGAGTTCCAGGTTCAATTGGCCCCTCTCTAAAATGGTCTCCAACCAAGCACCCTGTTCAGGGGATATGGCGTGTGCTTGGAAAAGAGTCATTCATCAGCTGTTGTAGTGCATGGCATCCACTGCTCTGTTCCACCACTGCATTTCTCCGTGCAGGGCTCTGTGGTCAACTGCTTTGTTTTGCTGTGTCTCTGTAGATTTGATCTTCCTTCCTCTTGCCAAGAGCCAGGAGCCTAAGAGAAAGTTCAGATTGTCCCTTTTTTCTGCTTTATGATCTGACTCTTCATTTTCTCTTTAGGGTCCAATTTTCCCTTCAGGTCCTTCCTGGGTCCCCAGGATCCACCCCCATCCTTCGATGCTTCTTGTTGTTATTTCCAGTGTCTGGATCCTGAATCTTGGATAGGCTGATTTACTATTCCACATTCTTCCTAGAAGTCCCTAAGATATAAATATTGTAATGGGGTACTATTTTAAAATAACTGTTCCTAGATATAACAGGAAAAAGTATACACCTTTTCACTCTGAATTCCTCATTACCTTTTGTAACTATTGATTATCTCAGAGTTTTCAACTTTTGTCCATCTATTGATTAAAAACATATTCCATTATTAATTTATTTTTCTTTACTATTAT